AAAAAAAAAATCAAGCCTTGAGTTGTAATACTGAAGGATTCTATGGCCAAAATATTCAACAGTGCAGGAAGCATCAAAAGACGGAAGGAATATAGAGTCACTGTACCAAAAAGAATTGGTCAACATCTAACCATTTCAGGAGGTGGAATATGTTCAAGGACCAATGGTACTGAAGGAAGAAGTCCAAGCTACACTGAAGGAAGTGGCAAAAAACAAGGATCCAGGAACTGATGGAATACCCATTGAGCTGTTTCAGCAAATAGATTCAACACTGGAGGCACTCACTTCTGACCAAAAGAGGGCAAGAGATCTGTATCTGTGCCCATTCTAAAGAAAGGTGATCCAACAGAATGTGGAAATTATTGAATAATATCATTACTATTTGTTGTTGTTGTTGTTATGTGCTGTTGAGTTGGACCCAACTCATAGCGACCCCTCCTTGGGTTGCCGAGGCAGCAGTTTGCCCAACCTTCCTTCCGAGGAGTGGCTGGTGGGTTTGAACCGCCAGCCTTCTGGTTAGCAGTCAAGTACTATTTACATCCAAGTAAATTTTTTCTGAAGATCAATCAAAAATGGTTGTCCGAGTATACTGACAGGTAACTTCCAAAAATTCAAGCTAGATTCAGAAAAGAGGAATATCCTTGCTAATGTCAGATAGGTGAAAGCAGAGAATACCAGAAAGATGTATCCCTGAGTTTTATTGACAATGCAAAGGCATTCAACTGTGTGAATCATAAGAAATTATGGATAATACTGCAATGAATAGGAATTCCAGAACGTTTAATTGTGCTTACTAAGAACCTATACAAAGACCAACAGGCTCTTCAAACAGAACAATGGGATAATGCATAGTTAAAAATCAGGAAAGGTGTATGTCAACACTATCATTTCACCATACTTATTCAGCCTCCATGCTGAGCAAATAATCCAAGAAACTGGACTACATGAAGAAAACATGGCATCAGGATTGGAGGAAGACAGGAACAACCTGTGATGTGCAGATGACACAATCTTGCTTACTAAAAGTGCAGAAGACTTGAAGCACCTAGTGATGAAAATCAGAGACTACAGCCTTCAGTATAGATTACAACTCAACATAGAAAACAAAAATCCTCACAAATAGACCAATAAGCAGCCATCATGATAAATGGACAAAATATTGAAGTTGTCAAGGATTTAATTTTACTTGGAGCCACAATCAACATCCATGGAAGAAGAAGTCAAGAAATCAAAGGATGTACTGCATTAGGCAAATGTGCTGCAAAAGACCTCTTGAAAGGATTAAAGAGCAAAGATGTCCCTTGAAGACTAAGTAAGGTGCACCTGACTCAAGCAAGTGTCTTTTCAGCCTCATGCACTTGAGAGCTGGACAATGAATAAGGAAGACTTCAGAAGAATTTATGCATTTGCATTGTGGCATTGGTGAAGAATACTAAATGTACCATGGAGCGCTAGAAGCAGCAGCACATCTTTTCTTGGAGGAAGTACAGATGGAATCACCTGAGAAGTGAGAATGGCCAGGCTTCATCTCTTGTAATTTGGCATGTTTTCAGAAGGATATCTCCAGTCCCTGGAGAAGGATATCATGCTTGGCAAACTAAAAGGTCAGTGAAAAAACAGATGAACAGACACAGTGGCTATGGGCTATGACAATGATAGGCTCAAGTACAGCAATGACCGTGAGATAGGCACGGAATCAGGTATTGTTTTGTTCTGTTGCACACAGGAGTCTCCTGACTCAATGGCACCTACCAACAACATCTTTTATCACAAAGCCTCTATAGTGAAATCTAAAATCTATTTTTAATCACCTCCCCAGCTACATCCTAAAATTCCCATAGCTATGTCGGCTGCTTCTCAGAACACACTAAAAATAAACAGGAAAGGAAAATGAGTTTACTACCTTGTTTCAAATAAAACCACCACTACCTACTGACTTATTTTGTAATAAAAAAAATCCACTAGCTTTCAAAATTAATAAGAACTTCATACTTAGGTTGGTTAGGATGGCTTTTATTGTGAATCTGTATCTTCATTTGGAGATTTCTGGACAGAAGGCAACACAACAGAAAATACTTGCCACCATCACCCGCTCCAAGCACCTACTGACCCTCAATCCATCAGGTCTCAGCTCAGAAATTATAGTCCCAAAAAGTCTTCTAGGACATCCCCTCTCCGTAGTGTCACATCAGAATGGGTTAGATGTCCCATAGTACCCTGGCACTTATGATTAATTAATAAGACACAGTCCAAGGCCTCAAAAAGTCCACTAAGAGGAGACAGGAAAATAAAAAGAAATATTTAAGAATGTAACGTCCTATCCTGTACAATTAGAAACCAAAGTTTACTTTGAGGCGTAAATTAATCCCAAATGAGCACTCTGATCTTGGGCAGACTTCAACCTCTCCGTGTCTCAGTTTATTTATCTTCCAAAACTACGAGAGCAACTGTTAAACGGCAATGCAAACACCACTAGAAAGTCTTTACAGTACTAATCACGACACTTTAGATTTCTATACATGAATTGCCTCCCTAAGGCATCTGAATGCTAACCAGAAGGCTGGCGGTTCACCCACCAACTACTCCTCGGAAGATTGGGCAATCTACTTTCGTAGGGATACCGTCTCCGAAACGCAAGGA